ACAGGGCATCACATGGCAAAGGGGCTGAGAGTGCTGGCTCAGTTTCTCCTCTTATAAAGCTATCGGTCCCACCTGGGTGCGGTGGCTCACGCCTATAGTCCCAGCACTTTGGGAGGCCGAGGTGGGCAGATCATGAGGTCAGGAGATCGAAACCATCCTGGCTAACACGGTGAAACCCCGTCTCTGCTAAAAAATACAAAAAAATTAGCCAGGCGTGATGGCGGGCGCCTGTAGTCCCAGCTACTCGGGAGGCTGAGGCAGGAGAATAGTGTGAACCCGGGAGGTGGAGCTTGCAGTGAGCCGAGTTTGCACCACTGCACTCCAGCCTGGGTGACGGAGCGAGAGTCCGTCTCAAAAAATAAATCAGTAAATAAAAGCCATTGGTTCCATTTCTATGAGAACCCATTAATCCATTACCAGTGAAAGGATGGGCCAGGTAGATTGGCTTATGCTGTAATGGTGGATACATACTGAAGTGAGTGGATTGTTTGAGGTCAGGAGTTCAAGACCAGCCTGGCTAATATGGTGAAACCCTGTCACTACTAAAATTACAAAAATTAGCCAGGCATGGTGGTGGACACAAAAATCAGCTGGGCATAGTGGCATGTGCCTACAGCTACTCAGGAGGCTGAGGCAGGGGAATCGCTTGAACCTGGGAGGTAGAGGTTGCAGTGAGCCGAGATCACGCCACTGCACTCCAGCGTGGGTGACAGACTCTGTCTCAACAAAACGAAACAAAAACAGTGAAAGGATGAATCCCCTCATGCGGGCAGAGCCCTCATGACCCAATCATTTCCTAAAGGTCCCACTTCTGAACACTGCCACACTGGGGATCAAGTTTCAACATGAGTTTTGGAGGGGACAAACATTCAAACCATAGCAATCACCTCACTGATTGATTAGAATTGCTCAGAGCTCCCTAAACACATCACCCTAGGCTGGGGGTAGTGGCTCATGCCTATAATCCTAACACACTGGAAGGCCAAGGCAGGCGGATCGCTTGACCTTAGGAGTTCGAGACCAGTCTGGTCAATATGGTGAAACCCTGTCTCTACAAAAAAGACAAAAAAAAAAACCCAAAAAACAGGCATGCTGGTTCTCACCTCCTAGCTACTCAGGAGGCTGAGTTGGGAGGACTGTTTGAGCCCTGGGGGTTGAGGCTGCAGTGAGCCGTGTTCATGCCACTGCACTCCAGGTTGGGGGACAAAGTGAGACCGTATCTGAATCAATCAATATATAGCACCCTGTTCACGACTGTCTTTGCTTAAGTTGATACCCCCAACAAATGCCTTTATTTGCCTACTACACCCTTTGCCTGTAGGTTCTGACATATCAAAGCCCAGTTTATTACCCAGTTTCCTTGACTTTAAGTAGTCATTCAATACTAAACACCTACCTGCCACCTACTGGGCAAAACAAACTTGCTTCCTGCTCTTGTAGACACAGTCATAGGTTACTTTCACTGATCACCAAATGCTAAGAAAACACACAGGGTTGGGTGTGGTGGCTCATGCCTGTATTCACAGCACTTTCGGAGGCCAAGGCAGGAGGGTAACTTGAATCCAGGAGTTTGAGACCAGTCCGGGCAACACAGCGAGACCCTGTCTCTATAAAAATTACAAAAAACAGGCCAGGCTTGGTGGCTCATGCCTGTAATCCCAGCACTTTGGGAGGCCAGGAGTTCAAGAGCAGCCTGACCAACATAGTGTAACCCCATCTCTACTAAAAATACAAAAAATTAGCTGGGCGTGGTGGCAGGTGCCTGTAATCCCAGCTACTAGGGAGACTGGGGCAGGAGAATCGCTTGAATCTGGGAGGCAGAGAGTGCAGTGAGCAGAGTGCCATTACACTCCAGCCTGGGCGACAGTGCAAAATTCCATCTCAAAAACAAAAAACAAAAACAAAAAACTAGCTGGGCAGGGTGGTGCATGCCTGTAGTCCCAGCTATTCCAGAGCCTGAGGTGGGAGGAGTGCTGAGTCTGGGAAGTAGAGGTTGCAGTGAGTTAAGATCGTGCCATTGCACTCCAGCCTGGGCAACAGAGACACTGTCTCAAAACCAACCAACCAAACAAAAAAAAACACGTATGATGCTATGTGGGAGTACCAGGGGAACTTACATTAAGGGTCCAGAGAGGCATCTTTGAGGAAATATTTGGCTAAGGTCAGAAGGGAGTAGGAGTTACTGAGTAAAAGGGAGGGGGGCACAAGCATTCTGGAGGGATCAACATGTTAAAAATAAACTCAAAGCAGAAGCAAAAAGAAAAGCAGCAGTTGTGGAACTGAAAAGGAGCCTATGGCTGCAGTGCAGAGAAAGGGGTGGCTCAAAGAGCCCAGAAAGTGCTGTAGCCCTATGACTATGGCCTTCCCCTGCCTTCCTGAGGCACTTCCAAGGTAGGCCTAGAATCCTTCCTTTGTGCATCCTCTGGGTTATACTGGAACTCTTTTTTTTTTTGAGATGGAGTTTTGCTCTTGCTGCCCAGGCTGGAGTGCAATGGCATCATCTTAGCTCACCACCACCTCTGCCTCCTAGGTTCAAGCAATTCTCTTGTGTCAGCCTCACGAGTAGCTGGGACTACAGGTGTGTGCCACCATGCCTGGCTAATTTTTCTATTTTTAGTAGCAACAGAGTTTCGCCATGTTGGCCACCCTGATCTTGAACTCCTGGCCTCAAGTGATCTGCCTGCCTCGGCCTCCCAAAGTGCTAGGAATACAGGTGCGAGCCACTGTGCCCAGCCCGTTTTTTTTTTTTTTTTTTTGGAGACAGTCTTGCTCTGTCTCCCAGGCTGGTGTGCAGTGGCAGGATCACTGTTCACTGCAGCCTCAATCTCCAAGGCTCAAGTGATCTTCCCATCTCAGCCTTCTGAGTAGCTGGGACTAAACTATAGGTGCATGCCACTATACCTGACTGGTTTTCATATTTTTCATAGAGATGGGTTTTTGCCATGTTGCCCAGGCTGGTCTTGAACCCCTGGGCTCAAGATCTGCCTGCCTGAGCCTCCCAAAGTGCTGGAATTATAGGCATGGGCCACTGTGCCCAGCCTCCACCATCACTGGAAGCCATCTCTTCAATTCAAAATTAAAGTTGGATAGGAAGGAAAAAATAGTACGTTTCTAAAAATGACTTTGATTTATCTATAATGAAAGGTATGGGTGGTTTTGAATTCCTTCCAGTGGTAATAAGAGGACAGAGTACTTAACCAATCCCACTACTTCTGGTTTTTTTTTTTTTTGAGATGGAGTCTCGTTCTGTCGTCCAGGCTGGGGTGCAGTGGTGCGATCGGGGCTCACTGTAAGCTCTGCCTCCCGGGTTCACACCATTCTTCTGCCTCAGCCCCCCGAGTAGCTGGGACTACAGGCGCCCACCACCATGTATGGCTGACTTTTTGTATTTTTTAGGAGAGATGGGGTTTCACCGTGTTAGCCAGGATGGTCTCGATCTGGATGGTCTCGATCTCCTGACCTCGTGATCCGCCCGTCTCGGCCTCCCAAAGTGCTAGGATTACAGGCGTGAGCCACCGCACCCAGCAACTACCTCTTGTTTTGAATCACAAATTCCTGGATGACTAAAATAAATTCCTAAAGTTAAATGGGGAAGGTAACTACCAGAAAATAAACACCAACTTTATTAACATAATAGCAACAGAGTTTCCAATTTCTCAAAAGGAAAATAACATGACAACACAAGTGTTAAATGAATAAATGCCTTTCAAGATGGCGGAGCACCCCTCCCTCTCCCCCAAAAACAGTAAATGCCTACATTTCTTGTTCTGATAGCTTCCCACCACACACCAAAAGTTCCTCAAGGACAGCTGCCACCAGAGCTGCTGCAAGAACGTGGTTTTCACCGGCTGTAGCTTCACAGCCAACTCCCCAAGCAGAAGACTAAAATACTACCTCTTTTTAGAAGATCTTGGTTGAGGGAGAACATATCAATATGGAGAACAGATCTCTGCTTCTCGAATTTAAGAAAAATCATTAACTAATCTATCAACTTTTCTCTAATACGGTGTGCCAGAGTGCTCTGTGAAGAATCCTTTTCCATCCCTACCACGTCTGGGTGAAGGGAGAGGAGGGGGTGGCAAGCTGCCAGTACACTAGCAGGCACTCCTGGTGATGCTATGGTCTCTGCTCCCTCTCTGCTGGTAGTAGTAGGCATGTTTTCTGGCAGCTGCAGCAGCTTGATGTTGGGGGGAGGAAGGGGCCACCCACCAATCACCTCTTCTTGAAGCCGTATTTTTTGCGTTCATAGAAGAGGTCTGTTTTAGAGCTCCCCAGATTGACAATCTTTGGGCAGCCATCTCTCTGGAAAACAGAACAGAGAAGCTGTTAAGTCTTTGAGCCTGAACCAAGAGTGACTTAAGATAAAAAATTTAAGCCTAGTGTGGTAGCATGTGCCTTTAGTCCCAGCTACTCCTCAGAAGGCTGAGGCAGGAGGATTGCTGGAGCCCAGTTCGAGGCTGTAGTGAGCTATGATCATGCCTGTGAATAGCCAGCTACTGTACCCCACTGTAGGCAACACAGCGAGAACCCCATCTCTTGGAAAAAAAAAAAATTGGTCAGAGTTCAAATTCTCATTTTAGTATTTGAAAAACCCGATAAATGGGTTTGTAAATGTGTCCAGGCCGGGCGCGGTGGCTCAAGCCTGTAATCCCAGCACTTTGGGAGGCCGAGACGGGCGGATCACGAAGTCAGGAGATCGAGACCATCCTGGCTAACCAGGTGAAACCCCGTCTCTACTAAAAAATACAAAAAAAACTAGCCGGGCGAGGTGGCGGGCGCCTGTAGTCCCAGCTACTCGGGAGGCTGAGGCAGGAGAATGGCGTAAACCCGGGAGGCGGAGCTTGCAATGAGCTGAGATCCGGCCACTGCACTCCAGCCTGGGCAACTTAGCAAGACTCTGTCTCAAAAACAAAAAAAAACAAAAAAAAAAATGTGTCCAAACATCAGTATCTCCTTCATTGGGAGGCCAAGATCAGTTTCTTCCCTATCTCTTAGCACTTACGAAAGATCATTTGTAGGCCGGGCACGGTGGCTCATGCCTGTAATCTCAGCACTTTGGGAGGCCGAGGCAGGTGGATCACCTGAGGTCAGGAGTTCAAGACCAGCCTGGCCAACGTGGTGAAACCCTGTCTCTACTAGTGGTAGTGCGTGCCCGTAGTCCCAGCTACTCAGGAGGCTGAGGCAGGAGAATCGTTTGAACCCAGGAGGCGGAGGTAGCAGTGACCCGAGATCACGCCATAGCACTCCACTCTAGCCTGGGTAAGAAGAGAGAAATTCCGTCTCAAGAAAAAAAAAAGACCATTTTATAACTTCTGGATTAACGGTTTAGCCATTTATCTTAGCCATATCTGCTGCTAATATGATACAGTTGAGGTAGACTATGAAACTCTTTTTTTTTTTTTTTGAGAAAAAATCTCACTGTCGCCAGGCTGGAATGCAGTGGCACGATCTTGGCTCACTGCAACCTCCGCATCACGAGTTCAAGCAATTCTCCTGCCTCAGCCTCCTGAGTAGCTGGGACTACAGGTGCATGCCGCCACGCCCGGCTTATGTCTTTTGTATTTTAGTAGAGACAGGGTTTCACCATGCTGCTCAGGCTGGTCTCGAACTCCTGAGCTCAGGCAATCTGCCCGCCTCAGCCTCCCAAAGGGCTAGGATTACAGGCGTGAGCCACTGTGGCCGGCCATACCTTACTTTTATGTTTTTTGAGACGGAGTCTCACTCTGTTGCCAGGCTAGAGTGCAGTGGCGTGATCTCGGATCACTGCAACCTCCGCCTCCGGGGTTCAAGCAATTCTCCTGCCTCAGCCTCCCGAGTAGTGGGGACTACAGAGGCGCGCCACCACGCCCAGCTAATTTTTGTATTTTTAGTAGAGATGGGGTTTCACCATGTGGGCCAGGATGGTCTCAATCTCTTGACCTTCTGATCCACCCGCCTTGGCCTCCTGATAGTGCTGGGATTTCAGGCGTGAGCCACCACGCCCAACCCTTACATTTTAAATACCATAGGAGAATAATGGGTTTTATGTGTCTTCATTAATTCACTTAATTTAACACATGGTCTTGGGGGTACAGAGCACTACTGTGCTAGTGATAGGTGGCTGTTGACAGACCATGCACTGATTTGTCATGACAGGCTGCCCTGGCCATTTGATGAGCTTGAGTGCTTTCAGTGAAGCCCCTGGGAAGCTGTGTTCTACAGAAATGATGACTCCACCAGTTGATTAGGGATGATGGAAGAAAAACCGGGGAAGCTGTAACTGGAAAAGCCCTACAGGTCTGTTGATTTTATTAAACACCCATGTCAGAGTTTAAGTCCTGTGATATTAGGCAATAGTATGAATTAATCAAGTCCTTAGCCAACTCATTTCTAACTCAATTAACATCTTTCTTTGGGGGCAGACGTTAACAACTACAAAAATCTCCGAAAACACACAAAGCTAACACTAACATTTTAGGATCTCCTAGAAAACATGTATCAAGTCATTACATTGACAGCTTCCATCTCTGAAGCCTGGTGTACCAAGGAAGCCACCCACCAATAGCTTGCTAGGTGAACCCAAGTAAGCAATGTAATCTATATTTAATGTCCTTGTAAAAATAAGGCATTAGCTGCCTCTCCTGGACAAAGGCCTGATATTAAACATAATAACAGCACTCTAAACCCTTTAGAGAGGCTATGAAACTCATGGTATGATGACAGCTTAAACTGTGCCTTACTGACGCAAATGTGGGCAAGTTGCTTCTCTTGGGACTTATATTATTCCTCAGCTGTAAAAGAAGAAGACTAGATCAGGTCAAGGTTTACAAACTATCCTTATAGATACCTAAATATTCCTGGAAGGTACCAAGTGATGGTATCACCCAATCCTCCAATTTGTACAGCTCCGTTCTTTACTTACAGGTTAGCTTTTTTTTTTTTTTGAGACGAAGTCTCACCCTGTTGCTCAGGCTGGAGTACAGTGGCGCTATCTCGGCGCTCTGCAACCTCTGCCTCCTGGGTTCAAGTGATTCTCTTGCCTCAGGTTCCTGAGTAGCTGGGATTACAGGCGCCCGCCACCACGCCCAGCGAATTTTTGTATTTTTAGTAGAGATGGGGTTTCATCATGTTTGTCAGGCTGGTCTCAAACTCCTGACCTCGTGATTTGCCTGCCTGGGCCTCCCAAAGTGCTGGGATTACAGGCATGAGCCACTGCCCCCAGCCTACTTACAGCTTAGCTAGCCCAAAAATTTAATTAATTTACATTAACTTTTAACTTTTCTCCTTAGAGGTGCAATGATGAGAATGAATAAATAAAAGGTTAAGAAACACTGAGTCAGGCTGGGCGCGGTGGCTCATGCCTGTAATCCCAGCACTTTGGAAGGCCGAGGTGGGTGGATCACCTGAGGCCAGGAGCTTGAGACTAGGCTGCCCAACATGGTGAAACCTCATCTCTACTAAAGAAAGAAAAATTAGGCTGGGCACGGTGGCTGACGCCTGTGATCCCAGCAACTTTGGGAGGCCGAGGTGGGTGGATCACAAGGTCAGGAGTTCAAGACCAGCCTGACCAACATGGTGAAACCCTGTCTCTACTAAAAATACAAAAATTAGCCGGGCGTGATGATGCACACCTGTAATCCCAGCTACTCAGGGGGCTGAGACAGAAGAACTGCTTGAATCCAGGAGGGGTAGGTTGCAGTGAGCCAAGATCACACCACTGCACTCCAGCTTGGGCGACATAGTGAGACTGTCTCAAAAAAAAAAAGAGCTGGGCATGGTGGCGTGTGCCTGTAATCTGAGCTACTTGGGAAGCTGAGGCAGGAGAATCGCTGGAACCTGGGAGGTGGAGGTTGTAGCGAGCCAAGATCATGCCATTGCACTCCAGCCTGGGCGACAAGAACAAAACTGCATCTCAAAAAACTAAAAAAAAAAAAAAAAATTAATTAATTAATTAATTTAAAAAGAGTCAGACCTCCTAGATTCTAGTCCTGATCTGTCACTCATTAGCCACTTGACCTTGGACTAACCAAGTTGCTTAACGTCTCTAAGCCTTAGCATCCTCATCTGTATCACATGGAACTTTTGGATAACAATGTTCAGCTAAGCACCTGGCATATATTAAGAGCTTCATAAATGTTAGTGCTATTTTTCTTATGTTCTGGTTGGGAGAACTGAGGAAAATGGTAAGCAAAAGGAATCAAGATTAAGGGGATTACACGATGCGGCACCATAAGAACCTACCAATTAGTCCTCTGGTAGCAATGTCTATAGACATCATCCCTGTCTCCTGGTTATTCTTGTGGCTTTGAAAAATTATAAATGAGAATACCTGGCTTAGCTTACCTGTCTAATTCCCTTATCAATTATGAAAGTTGCAGGAAGAGAACAATAACAAGGGTTGCCTTGGTTGTAGGAAGGTTTCTGCATAGGAAAGAGCCTTGGCCACTTAATCTACGTGATGATCTGTAAGGCTGAGAGCCTGGATCATGTCACTAGACTTTGTGTTCCTTGGAAACTAGCACTGAAAATGTGAGCTAGATTCCATCTCAAATGTCCTCAGAACATTCGTGTATAATGTGAAGGTGGGGAAGTGACGTCTAGAATAAGTCTCAGGGACAGAACGAGGCATGAGGATCCAAAGGTATCAGTTCACACACCACATTCAGAGGAGTCAGACAGCAATTAACATTTATTAAGCATTCTCTGGTTGCAAGCTTATGCTAGATAAGAACTCTAGCTAGAACCATACAAAAATTCAAGAAAATGCTGTCTTAAATGGCTTAAATAGCTACCCTGTAGCTAGTTTAGGAACTGTTTGTAACTTTTCTTCACTGCTGTTACCTTATTATGCTTTCACTGCTTATAGACCAGAAGTTAACAAACACCTACTATGTATTAGACACCCTAAAGGGGATACCTCTGGATGACTTACAGGGACAGCACCAAAACACATGTACCATGCTTGCACCGCATGTCAGGTACCATACCACAGCCTAAGGAAAAGGAGAGGCGAATAGACAAACCAAAGTCCTGCCTCTAATGAAGTGTAATCTAGCTAGTAGACTAGATTTGGATTTCCGGACAGCAGGATATGACTTAATAGTTGAAGGTAAATGCAAATCGGAGTTGCGGACAAGAGAAAGGTCCAAATCACTAACGGAAATTATGTTTTTGTTACTTCAGGACCTTTCTCATCTCCCTAAACAATAGAAGATTCAATGGTGTACTGGTTTTTTTTTTTTTTTGAGAAGGAATTTTGCTCTTAGTTGCCAGATTGGAGTGCAATGTTCTGATCTCGGCTCAGCTGACTGTAACCTCTGCCTCCTGGGTTCAAGCAATTCTCCTGCCTTAGCCTCCCAAGTAGCTGGGATCACAGATGTGTGCCACCACGCCGGTTAATTTTTGTATTTTCTTTTTATTTATTTTTGTTATTATTATTTTTTTGAGATGGAGTCTCACTCTGTCGCCCAGGCTGGAGTGCAGTGGCGTGATCGCCGCTCACTGCAAGCTCCACCTCCTGGGTTCATGCCATTCTCCTGCCTCAGCCTCCCAAGTAGCTGGGACTACAGGCGCCCGCTATCACACCTGGCTAATTTTTTTATTTTTTTAGTAGAGACAGGGTTTCACCGTGTTAGCGAGGATGGTCTCGATCTCCTGACCTCATGATCCGCCTGCCTCGGCCTCCCAAAGTGCTGGGATTACAGGCGTAAGCCACCGCGCCCGGCCAATTTTTGTATTTTTAGTAGAGACGGGGTTTCACCATGTTGGCCAGGCTGGTCTCAAACTCCTGACCTTAGGTGATCCACCTACCTTGGCCTCCCAAAGTGCTAGGATTGCAGGCATGAGCCACTGTGCCTGGCCCAATGGTGTAGTCTTATCTGGCCCAATCTCTCCCAATTACTGGGGGTAGGCAGGATCCAAGTGCATGAAATGAGGTACTGGCGTTGTTGCCTTCACCATGGAAACATCCCAAAAGCACACATTAAAGGGTAACATAAGGCCAGGCGTGGTGGCTCACACCTGTAATCCCAGCACTTTGGGAGGCCCAGGCAGGCGGATCACAAGGTCAGGAGTTTGAGTCCAACCTGGCCAACACAATGAAACCCCGTCTCTACTAAAAATACAAAAATTAGCCGGGGGTGGTGGCAGGCGCCTGTAATCCCAGCTACCCGGGAGGCTGAGGCAGGAGAATCACTTGAACCCGGGAAGCGGAGGTTGCAGTGAGCCGAGATGGCGCCACTGCACTCCAGCCTGGGCAACAAGAACGAAACTCTGTCTCAAAAAATAAAATAAAATAAAATAAATATATAAATAAAAGTACAACATGGTGAAATGGGGACACTACAAGGTTTCGTTGAATAGCCTGGGCTTGTCAGAGGAACTATAAAATGGGCATCATAATAATCATCCCTATTTCTCAAACTTATTGTGAGGAACAAGGTGTGATAACATCTATAAAAGACCTATTCTTTGCTCATGGAAATATGAAGAATTATGTATCTTTTGCCTTACTCTAAATTAGAATTAAATTAGGTAACTGGGCCAGGCGCAGTGGCTTAGGCCTGTAATCCCAGCACTTTGGGAGACGCAAGGTGGGCGGATCACTTGAGGTTGGGAGTTGAGGCCAGCCTGACCAACATGGAGAAACCCCGTCTCCACTAAAAATACAAAATGGGCTGGGCGTGGTGGCGCATGCCTGTAATCCCAGCTACCCGGGAGGCTGAGGCAGGAAAATTGCTTGAACCCGGGAGGCGGAGGTTGCGGTGAGCCGAGATTGTGCCACTGCACTCCAGCCTGGGTAACAAGAGTGAACTCCGTCTCAAAAAATAAAAAACAAATAAATAAATAAATTAGATAACGGGTACTATCATTAACCTAGTGAGACTGTATCATACTTCCTTTTGTTTTGTTTTTTGAAGAAAACAAGCTGATTCAGTTTTCCCCCACAAAAACCCTGCTGCCAATACTAAACGAAAGAAATGGGGTAAACCTTGCCTGTAGCACTGGTCTATAAGCTCTCTCTCCTGGCATTTGGCTCAGAGAGTTGAATAGTAAGTAACCACTGCCACTACGCAGTGTCAAGGGACAAAAAAAAAGTCATGATGCAGGGCCACAATCACTTCTGCAATATTAAACCAAAGGTACTTGTTACCTGCTTAAAGCTGAAGTCAACTTGAATCGTCCCAAATTCAATTTTGTCACGATATACACCCGAATAGTGCTTAATGATAGATCTGAGACATTAATGAGTGGCTATGACACAACATGGGCTGTACAGGCCTTATAAACAGACAGGGTCTCTGTCACCCAGGCTGGAGTGCAGTGGCATGAAAATGGCTCACTGTAGCCTTCACCTCCTGGGCCCAAGTGATCCTCCACCCGCCTCAGTTTCCCAAGTAGCTGGGACCACAGGTACACACCAGCACACCCGACTAATGAAAAATATGTTTTTCTGGCCAGGAGTGATGGCTCATGCCTGTAATCCCAGCACCTGGTGAGGCTAAGGCAGGAGGATCACTTGAGCCCAGGAGTTTGAGACCAACCTAGGCAACAAGACAAGACCCTGTCTCTACAAAAAAAAATTAGCCAGGTGTGGTGGCGCATGCCTGCAGTCCCAGCTACTTGGGAGGATGAGGTGGGAGGATCGTTTGAGCCCGGGGGGGTCAAGGCTGCAGTGAGCCTTGCACGTGATCATGCCACTGCACCCCAGCCTGGGCCACAGAGCAAGAGACCCTGTCTCAAAAAAAAGAAAAACAAAAAAACAAAACCAAAAAACCAAATTGTTTTTTGTTGTTGTTGTTGAGATGGGATCTTGCTCTGTGACCCAGGCTGGTCTTGAACTCCTGGACTAAAGTGATCCTCATAACTTGGACTCCCAAAGTGCTGAGATTACAGGTGTGAGCCACCACGCCCAGCCGGATGTCATTTCTGAATAAAAATAATCACAGAGAAACATGAATAGAGAGAGAGCTCTTCAAACTGCTGGTCTTGACAAAGATTTGCTTCCCTTGCATTTTTCCCCTTGATGCAAAATAACTGCCTTTTATTGAACTACACCCAGTTTGACTCACAGAACTTGAAAAAATTATAACCTAGATGACTAGATGAACACAGTAATCTCCATAGACCATAGGAGATTGCAGTGGATGGCAAAAAAGCAGGAAACAAAAGCAGGAAAGGTCAGATGGAAAGCTGTACACTTACATCCTTCTCCTGGATGGTGCACTCCTTACAATAATACGCATCAGAGACCCCAGGGCCTCCACAGATCACACAGCGTCCCTGGTAAGATCCATAGTTACACTCATCACATATGCGCACCAGAGTGCAGGGACGCACATAGGAGTCACAAATCACACACTTGCCATCACCTGTAAGGAAGAGAATGGAGTCATACTCACAACAAGTTCTTCAGTCCTCTGCTATCTCCTGCCATGGGGAAATACACTAGTCTCCTTTTGACAGTGACTTTAGGACCCTCCTCTTGGCATCACGAAACTTGGTTTACCCAGTATCCATCTCAAGTCCCTCAACATATACAAAAGTTTATTAACATATGTAAAGAGCCTAGAAAATCACCTCAGAGATGATAAGCCTATATAATTGCCAGCAAAGTGCTGTGTGTTAGGGAGGGGTCATGCTACTCTGGCGATTTTTCCTGTTGAAAACTAGAGAGATACAGCGTTAAATGTGCAAGTGGCAGTGGGGAGACAGAGGGGCCTTTGGTTGAAGTCCAGCATTCAGTGTTCACATACTTCCAGGCACATCTACTCAAAGCCCTCTTTGTGGCACTTTTGCTGGTTCCACAGAAACTGGGAGTGGGAAGGGTGGGCTGTTGGGACGGTAGGTTCCACTCACATTTTTCACACAGTCTTCCGATGGCTGCAAGATGAAAGATGGTTAAAAAGTACAATTAGAATAAAGGTTTTGACAAACGGGAAGTACATCCTCGAGCTGGGGGTAGGGACATGAGTACGGACTGCAGTGATACCTGCGGATAGCCATTTTATCATTACAAATTTCCAAATGAACCAAACCCACAGCCCAACCACCCTTCTGAATCTCCTCCAACGTCCTAGGGCAAGCTCTGAGTTTCTGTGGACCTGGCCCAGACCCCACCCCCGTCCCCCGCCCTCTTCTCATCAGCGGCCACAAACCTGCGCGTTCCTACAACACCCCGCGCCCGAGAGGCGGGAAACGTGGCGCCAGCTGGGCAAGCCACTAAGGAAGTGATGGAAACCCCCGACCCCCCAGCTCCTAATACCACCCCTACCCAGACAGACAGGGGCAGGGCGCAGTCTCACCAACACCAGCCTGCTTGCGGCAAAAGATCAAATCAGGATGATGTTTAGCCATAGCTCCCAATTAAGCCGGCCACCGGAAGCTTCGGGAACTTCCGTCCGACCTTTATTTCCCATTGTTCCTGCCTCCACGTCGCTGTGATTGGTCCTCTAAGCTTCCGTCAGTTTACGATCCTTGCACCAGGCCCCTCTTGCTCTCGCGCGAGTTTCTGTCGCTGCTGGGTGGCCAGGTCCTGGCAGGTGCATGAAAGTCTTAAAAACACTCCCAGATTTGGATGGCAGAGATAACTAAAATTTGTTCTTGGATAAAACATATTTGTGCTTGGTATCTACTTCTGCAAGTGTCTTTAGGCAGTTCTATTTCCTCTTGCGTGTCTGTTCATTACTCTTGAGCTCCGCTCATTGCGTTCCCAGGGTTCTGGTGCCCCAGGGAGGCCTCGCCTTCGCCGTGACGCCCCACTCTTCCGGGCACGCCCCTGCCCAAAGGCTTTAAAAGGCGCCGTTTGGGACGTCACTTGCATGCGACCTCATCTTTGTCAGTGCACAAAATGGCGCCCTACAGCCTACTGGTGACTCGGCTGCAGGTGAGCGAGCTCAGGGACCTCTGGGTTCACGGGGGCGGGGTGCCTCCTACTGTGCCGGCGGCTATGGGCGAGGCAGGGCGAGGCGGGCCCGACCTGGGGCCAACTTCTCGTGTACCTGTTCCGGTTGTGGGCCCGGCACCCGTGTCCGCTCCTCTGGTGCCCTAGGTCAAGGCGTCCCCGGCACAGTCAGCTTTCCTGGCCCTGTCCTCGCCTCGCAAGAAGCGTGGGCCCAAGCAGCGGCGGCCGGGTGAAGAGCGGAGGCACCTCTTTCTTCTTTTTGAGGACAGCATTCCCTGCTCCCGTGGGGTGTCTTTCCATTCCTCAAGGTGAGGACAAGGTGACTAGGGGGCGCGGTCGTTGTTGAGCCTTCTAGGCCCATTTCCTCAGGCCTCACTTCCCATCTCTTAGCAACAGAGACATGACAGCATCTACGGTTGCCAGGCCTGGAGTCTGGAGAAGAAACTAGGACCCTGTACCACCTTTTGAGGACCCTGCGGAACATGGAATGCCCGAGGGGGGGAGGTGGTCTTCTGGGCCCCTACGTAGTAAATAATAATAGTCTCTCACGTTTGCACAAGATTTGAGGACTGTTTTTTAATTCTTCATAATATTTGATTCATGTAATCATAGGAATGAGATGATTTTTCTCATTTGATAGGTGATAAAACTGGTAGAAAGTAGGTGGAAGTTCTGGTTCTTAGAGTGTCACCGAAGTGCTGTGGCAGAAGCATGGGCCCTACCACCACTGAGTTCTTGTTTATGTCAGCCTGCCCTCACAGAACTTTCTGAACCAGGGTGCGATTATTTCTGTTTGTCAGAATGCAGTACGAATATTTTGAGCTCACAGTAAGTTGCTTGTCAAATATGGGAGGATAAGGAGACTCCAGTTTGACCTTGACTCCCCCGTTAGGAGCTATCTAGAAAGCTGACCGACTGCCAGATGATTTTTTCACTTCTAACTTGACAGCCCTGGGAAGGTGTTATACTCAAAGGTTCAATGTCAAATGTGTCTTTCATTAATAAAAATAAAGCAAGCAAGCATCTGTAGACATTCTCTGTCAACCTTTCACAGTTAACTTTGTGAATCTTTTTTTGGATCCAGTGGCGCAACTTTGATAATAGAATTTTACAAGTTGTTATGCATTGTACTCTCAGGAAGCATTGTGGTACTTGAAGTTATTTTTAATCACTTTGCTTAAATTTAAACCATGTGGTTTAAAATAAAATCTTTTATCTGAAAGAAAATATTTCTGATCTCAATTCTGGGCAAAGGCAAACTATTGCACCTGATTATCTCTTCACGTCTTTTTTTTTTCCTTTGAGACAGAGTCTCGCTCTGTCACCCAGGCTGGAGTGCAATGGTGCAATCTTGGCTGGCTGCAACTCTGCCTCCCAGGTTCAAGTGACTCTCCTGCCTCAGCTTCCCGAGTAGCTGGGTTACAGGCGTGTGCCACCATGCTTGACTAATTTTTGTATTTTTAGTAGAGACAGGGTTTCACCATGTTGACCAGGCTGGTCACAAACTACTGACCTCAAGTAATCGGCCTGCCTCAGCCTCCCAAAGTCCTGGGATTACAGGTGTGAGCCACCCCATCTGGCCTCTTCAAGTCTTTTGATTCTCTAGGTTAATGATGTGGAAACAGTTGTTTCTTCCTGTCTCATGAGTTAAGGGAGTCAGTCAAGATTATTTGGTAAGATAAATGATTATAGAGTTCTTGAACTTGGAAGAGAAGAAGAATATCACACCATTTTGAACTGAAAAGGATCTTGGAAAGTATGAGTATCAGACTGGTGTAAAAGGAGATCTGGGCTGTAGTTCATACTCTTTCCTGATCCTGTGACCTTGAGTAAGTTACTTCCTGAATCCATTGTCAATTGAGGATGATCTTCATTGAACAAATGTATATTCAGCAACTGGATGTTAGAAAGTGATGAGTAAGTAGAATGAGTTTACGACCATCATGTCGACTAACCTCTTTTGCAGGTGGAAAATTTAAGACCTTGAGAGCCTGGGTGACTTCCAGTAGCAGAGTCAGGATTAAAATCCTGGTCTCCTTATTTGTTCCTTCAGCTAAGATGAATGAACAATATTATGCGGTTTGCACACTGCCTCCCAATAACCAGGCTGTCTCAAGTAACCAACTAACACAGTTTCTCTGAGAAGCTTGTACATTTACCTCTTTTGTGCTTAGATACATTTGTGAAATGATGGTTACCACCTTAATAGTCATGTATGCAGAACCCTATGGCTGTAGTCAATTCATTCCTACTTCATTCACCATATATTTACTGAGCGCCCACTGCTTGTTCTGAATACCGTGGTAAGCAAAGACAGTCCCTGTTCTTGTGGAACTTCCACTGTATTCTAATGTACCTGACTGCAGAGGGCCTTGGAGATCTTTCTCAGCCAAATACGGTATTTTTCTTTCCTTGGCTGGACCAAAGGTGAAGGTAGATAATAGAATGATGGGTGTTACTCCCAGCACTAAGAGTACCTAGCATTTATCTTACTGTGTATGACTAATTTCACATGACTCTGTGAGATAAGTCAGGTTTATTAGCCTGATTTATAGATGAAGAAACAGAATTAGAGAGCAAACGTAGTGTTATGGTTGAGAGCATGGACTCTAGCATCAGACAACCTAGATTTGAATTCTGTAATAACTCTAATACTCATATAGCTGTGGTTTTGGATAAGTTACTCAACCTCTCCGCACCTGTTTCCTTGCCTTTAGATACAATAAAAAGAATATATCTGTTTCAATCATGTAATAGTTGCAAAGTATTTAGAACCCTTTCTGGTACTTAGTAAGGGCTATATAATTGCTAAATAAATATGTGGCCAGGCACGGTGGCTCACGCCTGTAATCCCAGCACTTTGGGAGACTGAGGCAGGTGTATCACAAGGTCAGGAGCTCAAGACCAGCCTGGCCAATATGGTGAAACTCCATCTCTACTAAAAATACAAAAATTAGCCGGGCATGGTGGCTCGCGCCTGTAGTCCAAGCTACTCAGGAGGCTGAGGCAGAAGAATCCCTTGAACCCAGGAGGCGGAGGTTGCAGTAAGCTGCAATCACGCCACTGCACTCCAGCCTGGGTGACAGAGCGAGACTCCGTCTCAAAACAAAATAAGGCCTAGGCCCTTATCAGTAGTTGTTAGTAGGTATGATTTGAATCTGGACATGTCTGATTCCGAAGCCTAAGGGCTTAGCAACTGGCACTATACTGCTTCCCTTTGGCATCGAGCTCAACCTGTGGATCCATAGATGCACCAGAACCTCAGAACAGTGCTAAGCTGAATGTGTACTCTTGTTTGACAGTACCTGCTACCAGATAGTAAGATTAGAAACAAGAAAATAGGATGTGGGTTTTTGTTTTGTTTTGTTTTTTAAAGAAATGGGGGTCTCACTATGTTGCCCAGGCTGGTCTCAAATTCCTGTGCTCAAGCAATCCTCCTGGCTTGGCTTCCCAAAGTGCTGAGATTACAAGTGTGAGCCAACTGCAACCAGCCAAGGAGGTGAGATTTTTGAAAAACCACATTTACTCTCTGTTTTTTAGCATTTATTTTTGTGCATATGACTGAGTAGTACACAAGAGGGGTTGAGCAGTTGAAAATATGTTTATTAGGTGTTTGGTTTTGCCTTGAGATAACTGGGGTTTTGAGGTTTCATGTGACCTTGGGAGAGGTCATGTAACCTCTTGCATGTAAATTTGTGATGGCAGTTACCTACAAAAATATTTGGCAGAAATTCTCTGTGCCATCTTAAAATCAAATCTTGGTTTGAATTGTGAAATAGATGATTCTGGTTGTATGGTCACTGTGATAACCTTCCCAGATATCAGTTGTTACTAGAATTGAGTGAATGAATGAATTGTCAAATAAGCTTCCATCTTAGATATGGACAGAGGGAACAGGGACACCATCCTGAGGATTAAGGGAGCACATCATTGCCTTTCAAACCAATTGCTTCACAATGTTCTTTGAACGCTTTGGCTGGGCTGGGTGGCTTACGCCTGTATTCCCAGCACATTGGGAGGCCGAGGCGGGTACATCACCTGAGATCAGAAATTCAAGACCAGCCTGGCCAACATGGTGAAACCCAATCGCTAATAAAAACACAAAATAAGCTGGGTGTGGTGGCACATACCTGTAATCCCAGCCACTCAGAAGGCTGAGGCAGAAGAATCACTTGAACCCAGGAGGCGGAGGTGGCAGTGAACGGAGATCGCGCCATTACACTGCAGCCTGGGCAACAAGAATGAAACTCTGTCTCAAGAAAAAAAAAGAAAAAGCTTAATGTCTCAAGAAGAAAAAAGAAAAAGCTTAATGTCTAACACTGCCTAGCGTTGTTCTAGACACTGGGGATGCAGTAGTTAACAAGAATAGTGGGGCTTAAATTGTAGTCCTGGGGAAAATAAGTAGAAAAATAAGAATATTGTATTACTGAGTGTTGTGGGAAAGGTAAGGTAGAGAGAATGGGGTGGGAACATGGCATTTTTAACTGGGATATTTGGGGAAGACCTTGTAGAAGAGGTGACATCTGAACTGAGACTTAGATGATACGAAC